GCTTGGGAAATATAAGGAGGTGAGTGATGGGTGCTTGGGACCGGTTCGTCGGCACAAACATTCTTTTGTCGTATTGAAAGGCGTACACAGCCTTGTACCGACGTTGCATTATTGAGAAATGGTGACAAGAGTTGAAATCTTGTGGTTGAGACTGTGGTTGGACGAAGTCAAACTGCGCCCTTTCTCACAGACGCTGGAATGCTAATCGAACCAATGATATCACTCGAAGCTCAAGCATACTGTCGACTTCATTTCAAACAATCTTATTTCTCCTCAGATGTATATCAAACAACTTCATCAAAAATATTAATTACATTGATGTTCGGATATCGGGTAACTAGATGAGATTAAATGTTTTAGTAATATTGCTATGTGTTAGAACTGATTAATAGCTTTACTTCGCCTGGGCAGATTCAAAGTCTAATTCCTGATATTACCTACCTAGATACACAGCGCTAATGATATACGAGTAATTTTACTGTGAAATATAATAAGTACTTACTGGCCGGTTGGCCATTTTGAATTCATTTTCATAAATTCATAACATTCACAACATTCACGAGTCAAGTCAATCTGGGCACCAATTAAAAACATTCATACCACATAGCACAGTACAGACAGAGAAGTTGCAAGTCATCATCACGTTACACCCAAACACGCGTTTCTAAAGATCTTCAGCCTTACCATCTTCCCATCTACGAAATCTTACACCCCACCTTCCTATTCTGGTACACAACTTTGATACGTTCAACAACTTCATCATGTCTTTTAATTCTCAAAACCATGGCAGTGACCTCAAACGTAAGAGCGGTTTGTTGGGTAGTATCCGCGATAAGCTAGGTCGTTCAAAGAGCACCGCACCATCTAAAAGTCCATTATCCTTCCCAAGAGGAATTCCAGATAATGCTCCTCCACCAGCCTATACTTCTTCATCTCCAATATCACCCACTTCGTACAACCAGACATCTCCGTCGTACAATCATGCTCCTGCGCCTTACAGTAACGCTTCCACAGCATACACAAATGCTTCTACATCTCAGAATAATTCTCCTACATTCTATAGCAGCAACACTTTCGCATCACGCCACTCTTCTACAGTTCCAAATACTGCGGGAACTATCCCACAACATGACCTTGATGGGTCACCTTATGCTCTCCTATCTACATTCGATACAGTCCTTCTCATCGATGATTCTACTAGTATGGGATGGTACACTCACCCTACAGCTTGGGAACAAGTTTTCACCGCCCTTCAAACTATAGCACCAATCATTACTACCTACGATGCTGATGGCATTGACGTTTACTTCATGAACCACAAAAGTAAACACAAGGGTAACGAAAATGAAGGCGTCGCTGGCACCGGATACTACAACATCCAAAACGCAGCATCAGTAGAAGAAGTATGGTCTATCGTAGACAAACCCCAAGGCATAACCCCCACCGGCAAACGCATCCGAGACATCCTCTCCCCCTACATGAAGCGAACCAAGAAAGAGCTCAAAGCAGGACGAGAAGTGAAACCATTAAACCTCATCGTCATTACCGACGGCGCGGCTTCCGACGACCCGGAATCGGAAATCGTCAAAGTAGCCCGCGAGCTCGATGATCTCGATGCGCCGCTCACGCAAGTGGGCATTCAATTTTTCCAGGTTGGAAAAGTGGCAGAGGCCAAAAAAGCCCTGGAGGATCTGGATGATGCGTTGGAGCATCGATATAAGATTAGAGATATGGTCGATACTGTTACGTGGAATGGAAGGGATACCGAAGCGGGATTGACAGGGGATGGAATCGTCAAGGCGGTGTTGGGTGCGATTATCAAGAGACTTGATCATAAACCTGCGAGTGGAGAAATTCCTAGGAATTAATGGTTTTGCTTCTCTTTCCCTTTTCTTCTTCTTGTTTCTTCATCCTTGGCTCGTCAACTTGGCTGCCCCACAGCATTCAACTCATCTCTTCGCTTCTCTATACATTTTATCTATTTTCCTCACATAGCTAGCTTCACTTTCTTGCGCGCATGGCATGGATTCAGCACACATATGTGTATGTGTGTTCTTTATGATATTGGCGGGACTTAAAGGCGTTAGGGTAAAAGAAAACTGGTGGAACCACTCGAGAATATCGTGCTGGTTTGCATCGTCACCTGGGTTTGATAAATTTTTCACCTGGTTTCTTATTAGAGAGGTCGGTTTAGGCACTTTTTAATCCTTAATGAGTATTCTTTAAATTTGGCATTGTGTGTATGTGTATATATATATATATATATATAATTATTGAATTTGATTTGATTTGATTTGATTTAATTTGACTTGGGTTTTCTATAGTCTAGTTAGTTATTAGTGATTGAGTAATGCTTTCATACTTTCATACTTTGATATCTAGTTTACTATCACTATTGCTATTGCTATTGGTATTGATGATAGTTTACTTATAGTATGAGTTGATTATATGGAGTATATGCAATGCATAGGTATGCATTATATATACTCTAGGTAGGTGCCTAGAGCAGCTCTGGGCATTGCTTTCTTATGAACGTGATAGGATAGGAGAGAATAGGAGTTTCTGGTAATATGAGTGCTTCTTCTTCTTCTGCTGCATTTTCATGTTTATAATCTATAATCTATGATATAAATCCGAGATATACTGGGGAGGTAGATAGGTAGGGAGGTACATAGATATCTATACAACTTAACTTGATTAAAATTAGCTGCAGCTGCAGTTGTGTCTTTCTTGTATTTGTTATTTCTAGGTGCTTCTAGGATAGGGGTATTGTTATTATTGTTATCACTGTGAAGGTGAATATGAATGTGAATGTGAAAAACTTGGAAATGTTAGGTATTATTGTTGAGATTGATAAATACCACCCACCCATCCATCCACCCATCCACTCACCTAGATATCTAAGCCGCTTTAACCCGCCATTTTCAAATTCTTGGTATAGATACCTAGATAGGTAGGCTCAGAAGTGGTGTGGAGATTGTATGATGATTGGATGGTTGGATGGTCGGATGTTTGTAGATAAGTGGGTGAATAGTAGGTAGATATTTTGTATTTGTATTCACTTGCTTGCTTGTGATGTGTGATGTGGGATATGTGAATGTGGCATAGATATGCGATATGTAAGTGGATAATTCTGAATCTAAGATTCTACCTAAGATAGCGGTGGATGTTTTGTACTTTTGGTTTGTAGTAAATAGTAGGGGGATAGAAAGAGAGGGAAGTATAGAAGGGGGGGGAGAAATATATGCGTGCCGGGATTCGATCCTGGGGGCGGAGATAGATGAGGAAAGGTGGAGGGAAAGAGAAGGAAAAAAGTGTGGAGAGCTTGTAATACCTACCTAGTGATTGTGGTTATGGTTATGGTTGTAGATTCACTGTTTACAACATTTAGTGTGGAGTTAGGAGTCAGCAGTGAAAGAATCATAGAGATAAATGAATATAATAAGTAGGACAAGTTTTAAGAGAGATGCATCGGTGTGGATGTTAGACTTGCTTGATGATTCTTCATAACATCAGAGTAACATCCATATCGCAGTTAATTTCACATACACATCACCAATTCATTCAAAATACATGCACATCACATCACATCACATCCACAAAATTAATAAAATAAAACAAAAAGTTGATTTATCCTCTCACTAAGTTCCTGCAAATCTGCTTACTACCCAAGCCATACCATGCCCAATTCTGCACCCTCCTCTAAACCCAAGCCCATTCAGAATTGTCCAAACGAGCTCAAAACTTGTCGACGCAGAAGAAACGCGATGCAAAAAACACACACCAGAATTCGCAGTACCCACAGCAGAGAAAGAAAAACTCATGAAACTTTTTGGGTTTTTTCGTGCAACTAGACTAAGATATGTAGCCTGAATGATTCACGCTATCATTCATTTGTCCATCTTCCCGGCTTGCTTGAATCATTAGAGAAGAGAAAAGAAAAGAAAGAAAAATAAGGAAAGAAGAAAAGAATTTTCGTGGAATACGAGAGGATCGAAGATATCTTACTCCTTTCAGTAAAATACAAGAGTAGATTACGGGATAGGAATGAAAGAAAACTATCTGGTTCGAGTATTTATGTCTTCCATCACCGCATCTAGAAATCTTTCCGCATGTGTAAAGTATGAGGAGAGAAAATCAGATTGGAAGATATAAAATTCGAAAAAGAAGGTTTGGTGTTTCATCCCAAGGAGAGAAATATGTGTGATCGAAAAGTAGAGATGAATATCGTCGTTCGTATCTAGATGTGTCTTATTTCCATATTATTGTCGTTGATTAGAATAGAGTTTTAAAGATTGAAGTGTCGAGAGTAAAGACAAATCATCAAATCCTATATCTTATGGAAATCGAAACCCTCATCGAGAAAGAAGGAGGAAAACATCGGATCCAGAGGAAAATTGAATCATCGAGCCGCCAAGTTTGGATTCCCAATCGAGAATGCGCGCGCGAGTAAAGGTTAAAGTGAAGGCGTTGATAGGAAACTGTTGTACAAATCGAAGGTTGCTGAAAATTGTATGTCGGGTTGGAGAAAAGACACAGGTGCTTCGATGAAAAGTGGGTAGATATGTTGAACGCCGGATGAAAGAATTGAAGGTTGAATAATTGCGTGTCCTCTGAAAATAAAGACGGGATGAAACTTTTTGGTAAGGGGTGTAGGTGAGTGGATATCTTGGGTCGAAAAGGGGAAGAGTAAGATGATCATAAACCGAAGGATCTCCTGAGATACCTTGGGGAAGATGAAAGTCGAGAGTAGAGTAGTAAGATGGATTTCCCACAAGAGTCATGCAAATCCTAAGAGATGACAAGAGAAAAGCAGGAGAAATAAATTTCCGTAGGAAAGAACAAGCCGATGATGATGAGGGGTAGTATCGTACGCTATTGAAATACTCTGAATAGATGATGTTGACAGTGGCTCATCAGTTCGGAACAAAATGACGGAAGTTGAAAATGATGACGATCTATTTGCGAGAATTTTGTGCGTGGTACTGTACGAAGACTATTTAGGTCATAAGAAGAACACTTGCCTTGTGCAAGCTCTTTGCGATGATGGTAATGGAATTATCATCGCGCATTGTAATAGATGGGGTCATGACAAGCTTGAGACGCTTCTGCTTTGTTTGTAGCTGGTATGGATTATCTCTTGGATGGTCCTTGGCGATCATGGTGCCAGCTGTGAACTTGTTGCCCAGAAGTTCGGGAAAGATAACCTGGAAGCTCAACTTTGCTGTCCACATTCTGCAACAGAGATCCATGGAAGCAATGATAATTGCACCAAGATCAGTACCGGCCTTTGACTTAGAGGTTCCCTCATTCATGAGAGGTCCGAGAATGTCTCGAAGATGCTTCGTGTGGTTTGTGAGCGAATCATTTCGGAATTTCGCGAAATCGGGGGAGTTAACAACGGACTTGACAACGGCAGATTGCTCGGCGACAAGCTTTTGGCGTTTCTCTGCAGAAGCCACTGGTAGTAATATGTTAGTAACTGTAATATTGCGACATGAAATAGATAATACTCACATGGTCTAGCTGTAAGTTGCTCCCTAATGCTGGCAAGATGTGCAGCAACACCATTATTGTATTGCTCGAAGGTCTTGAGGGTCATGATATTGTCAAACAGTAACTCATTGCCATTCTCATGACAAACCAGAATCGAGTGTTTTCGCTGCTCAAAAGGGCCATCACATGGCTATGCGCACTCTGAGGATCGTTATAGGTGAGCTTGGTCATGTAATTCCAGAGAGCTTGATTCGAGCTAGCAATTGCGCGATCTTCTTGAATGTTAGGAATGCAACAATATGTGCGAGCCCATCCTTCGGCCAGAGCAAAGATGTCACTGAAGTCTTTTGTGAAGGCAACACTGATCTCGTGAACACTCGGAACATGCGCAGGTGGTTCTCTGTATGGAACAAGTGGAAGTTGTGAGCGGTGGTGATTGATAACCGTTTCGGTCTCACTGTTAAGATTGTTTCTTAAGTTTGAGATGGACTGGACGTTCTCCAAAGCGCTATCAGGAACTGCTACGGACACGGATGCCTTTACTCGATTATACTCCTCTTGGGTCGGGGATGCTTGACCTCCGACAGCGGCGCTTTCCATCGCAGCTAGCGAAGCTCTTGACAGGCGTGCCATCGATGTTGAACCACTACCACGGTATCCGGAACGTGAGTTGCTGTAGGACGATGGAGCTTCCAATCGGAGTTGCGATTGTGATCTTCCGTTGAGACTTGGGAGCCCGAGTGGATTTGGGTCACCTCTCTGTTGAGACGCGGGTGGGTGGGAGGCAAGCCAGAGAATTCTCTTTCCGTTTAGCTGGTTTTCTTTCAACTGTAATTCCTCGCGTTGTGAGGCAATAATGGCAAGTAATTCGCATTTGCTGAGCTCGCCAGAATGATCACCGGACTCACTGTAAGCTTCTTGAAGCTGGGACTCAAGGTCTCGGAGCTTGGTCTGGTAAAATTCGACGCTTTGAGTGACGAAGACTTGCTGGGCCGCGAAATCGACGAGGAACTTTTGAAGTTCAGCACCGATGTTATCTTGTACTTGTTGCGGGATTGAGGTGGTATCTCGAACGGTTCGGATGATCTGTGTGATTCTAGTTTCCATCCAGTCCTGAAGGCTTTGTGACCGATTACGATTATCGAAGACCTCTGCTCTATGACCTCGAGGTGGCGGTGGGCTTGTAAGGGAGACCGAGCTGCCCGAGATGCTTCCTCTCTTGTTATGACTGCTAGGCTGAGATGAAACGAACTGTGAAGTAGTGGGATCCATCGACTCGGAGCGGTTCATGGAGGCCCGAAGGTCTGCTTCACCAGACTTACGAGAGGGTCGCGATCTAGCAGGTACGAGCGACATTATTAGTGATAGTAGTTTCGATTATGAATAATAGTAATAGTAGTTGAATGTATAGTTTAAAGGAACAGAGCGCGAGCCCCAGAAGAATTGAGAAAGTGGGAGGCGCAAAGAGATTTGACTTGTATCTGCTGCTGTAGTAAAAAGGAAGGTAGAAGAACTTGAGTCCGCGGAACGGAGGATGATAAAAAAAGTAATCGAGGTTGGTGGGGATATTGTTTGTAGGTCCCACTAGCTGAAAAGTTTTTCTTTGAAGTGGAAGAAATAATATGAATTTTGAAAGTGAAGAAAAATGGAACCATGAATCCAGGAGTGAACTTTAAAGGAAGAAGCCACTCTATCCATGATAGGATCCTCTTGGTCTCCGAGGGAACCAGTGAATTCAAGACAACGAATAATAATGATATCGGGAGATGAAGTGCGGGGGAACATTCATCGCCATGACAAAGCAAACAAATCAAAAACGTGCGACTGCAGTTTTATGTGTTGCTCAATTTATGTTCATCAAGTATTGGTATTTTTACGATGGCTATGGAATGCTCACTGGGCATTTGGGATATCAATTTCACGTGAACGAGTGTTATATGTCCAAAGTGTTTTATAGGAATGTTTGAAAACTATTTCCAATGTATGTAAATAAATGATATGTATCTGTGGAAGCCTTCTCAATCAATGCTGTTGAAGAGATGAGACGAGTGTTGCTCAAAATGGCCTCATTGATGGCGCAGCGATGAGCGTACCAAGGAAGCTATTCCCATGTAACAAAAATCTTAGAGTGCCATATATCATCAAAGTAGAACTAGTACATTTGAAGTTGAATGAAATGAAGTTGGGACGAATAGAAGGCAGAATAGTAGAGCAAGGCGGTCTACAAAGGAAAGAGTTGAGATTGACACTATTGAAAAAACTCGCGTCCGAGTTCGGCTATGGACCAATCAATGGTTGAATGATGGAATTGAAGGCAAAAGGGGTTTGAGGAAACCACAAGAACTTCCAACAATGTCCAACTATTGTCTTCGAAAGAAGTTGTTTTTGAGAAAAGAAAAATGCTTTGAGAAGATTTAAAGTACATACCCATCCTCATAGCCATGCATAATCAAGCCATCATCATAAGAACGCGACCTAATGCTAGTATTGTAAGAAGGTGCGCCAGTATGTATAAGTATTGAGGTTAATCATACCTCAAGCTAGCTCTAGGATGAAAATAGTCGTAGACTGGAAGCCTAATTCTTAATGGCGAGGGAGGTCCTGGCTCTGGGATTTGGTACTATTCATTGAATATGTTAGCATTGTGCGTAGTAATAAGGAAAGGTCGCAAGTCATCACACAACAAATTTCGAAGGAAACTTTTTCTTCGAAATACAACCCATTCGCGATTGATTTAGATTATAAGTTATTAAACCAAATTGATTACAATTGCCCTTTAGTGATTCTGATCAGTAGTTGTTGTGCTATTGTCATCGGCATTCCGAACACGAAATATATATGAAAATTCGCGTAAAATTTTCTTATTTCGAATTATTAGAATAAGAATAAGATCCTCAATATGAGTTCTCTTAACAATTCATCAATACTTAGGGATATGGCTATGATGGAGGCTTCTTTTGAAGCCTTTATTATATCAATCACTTATTTTATTGTTGTTCTAGGTACTCTAATACCTTCAAGCCCTCCTCTGTTTTCTGAAAACCTTCAATTCGAAATCTCTAGCCCTATTCTATTAACCAATCAGCCAGCTAGTACTGGAAGAAGATTTGAAGAGTTCAATCTATTTAGTGATTCCTTTATTACTCAAGATATAATCAATACTACCTATATATTCAATCAGAATAAGAAACGGGGCTCTACAATACCCCTTAGCAATCAGAACAAACAATCTAGAATTCAAAACAACCCAAATATACCTAAGGAAGCTATTTTGAAAGCTAGAGACCTTATAGTACTAGCTTCCTCTTTCTCCCAATTACACAAAGAACAATCCAAGCTCTTAGATCTCCTAGAGATCTTTAGAGAATATACTGAAAAGGGGAAGTTTACTATAGCTTTGAATATCATCACCTTTCAAATCACTTATTTGGAAACCGCTACATACAAAATCGAATTACAAGCGAAAGCATTAGCTAAACCTCTTTCGCCTATTACTGCTACTACCACTATATTGAAACCAATATATACTGATATTTCAAAAAAAGGAAAATAGAATTTAGTTCCCAAAGGGAAAAACATTATATCTATTAATGTAGAAAAGAAATCTAATCTTATTCAAAAACGAATTATCTTAATCAAGCCAGATTTTCCAAACCCTACCTCCTTTTTCCCTCTAATTATTCGAAACAAAATAAATAAAGCCTTTCAAAAGATCAGAATCAAAGGGCCAGTCATTATAACAGCAACTATATCCTTCAATAATAATATCATTATTACAACAAATGATCCCTTTATATTACAATTCTTATTAGAAAAGAAAGCGATTTGGAGTAATATTATCAAATTCGAAAAAATCCAAAAGGATCAAGAATAGCACAAAGTCATTATTCACAAAATCCCAATTAAAGAATTCTCAGATACAAAAGGAATAGATCTTATACTCAACGAAATCAAAACCTTCAATCCAGACTTTAAGCCTATAGGAACCCCCTTTTGGCTTACATTTGCCTCCAGAAGAGCTTATCAACAAGAGAGTATTATCGTTATTGCTTTTGCTACAAAATCAAAAGCAGAATTAGCTATTCGAAAGCGATTATTGATTGATTGATTGATTTAATTAACGTCCACCTTCAGTCTATGACTATATAGGACGGCTAGGCCAAATGGTCTAGCGGATAACTTTTAAAGTACAAAATTAGGAATTTTAACAATAGGGTAAGTGAAAACTAATACTGGGGACTCGTTCCCGCTTACTATACGAAGTGCGTATAGTAAGATATAGAGTAAAGAGGGTTAAACCCTTTCTTTCTATCTTTTCTCTCATCCTCCTCCTTCTCTTTCCATTTCCAAATGGCTCTCTCTCCTTCTCTTATTGTCTCTTCTTCTTCCACAATTTCGTTTTATATCTCAGCTCTTAATAGATACCAAGTTCGAGTAGCGATTTTGGTAATATTGATGAATTTGATTGCTAGTTCGATACCTATTTCGTATATAGCAGAAATTGTAGGTTGATTTTCGAGATTAGTATTTCTTTGAAGATTTCCTTTCTTTCTTTTCTATATATTAGGCAACCAATAAGGAGATATACAGCTGTTTCGATATTGTTGCAAATATACTTATTGTTTGAAAGTTTGAATCGATATAAATAAGACTTAATATAAACTGTGGCCGATTTGAGTTGAAAGAAGGTGCTAGCAGTATTTCGCTTAGTACCTTCTGGTAGCTTGATTTTGAAGCTGATTTTCCATGGGAAGAGTTTCGAATAGATTGTATCTGATTGATTTGATCTGGATTTGTATTGATTGAGAGTCTCTAGCCATTAATCGAAGTTGTATTTCTTTACTATCATACCAAATAGTCCTATATTGGTTTCACTTGAAGTAGCCATATTGAAGTTGCTTCTTTCACTAATTTATCAGCCATTTCATTTCCTTATATCGAAGTGTAACCTGGAACCCAATTTAAAGAGACTTCAGCTCCTTTTGCTCTAATATCCTCTGCTGCCTTGATTGCTCGTATTTGGTAAGCTTGCCAAAATGATCGGAGGGGGTTTTAGACGATAGAATCCAGTTTGGTTGTCCGAATAGATCTTGAATTTCTGTCCTTCATATACTACAGTACTAGCATATTCGATAGCTTTGTAACTCCCAATAATTCTCCATTATATACTAATTGATTGATACCAATATTCGAACGTTTTCAATAAGAGATTGATCCATTTGATTGTATTACAACTATCCCTACTCCTATTCCAATTCCTTTTTTGATAGAAGATGCATCAATATATATATAAATTGTATTTTGATCTCTGTGTTTAAATATAATATTATAAAGAGTAGCTGTATCTTCTTTCGAGGCTTTATTAATATTGACTTGTAAGGTGTATCTCTTTTCCAGGGAGGGAAGTTGAAATGGGTAATCTTTTCGAGAGTAGATGGATTGAAATCTTGTTCTATGGATTCTCTTATTTTATCTAATTGAAATGGCTTGTAACGTTTCCTTCGAGGGGTAGTCATTGTTTCTAGGTCCGATTTGTATTGAGATAGTATTTCTTTTTCGATATTGATTGAGTGATTTGATAATAATTTCATTAATCGAAAAGCATATCGTTTTATATTTGAGTCTAAACGGATTTTTGCTAGCTTTAGTCCTGCTTCGATTTCCATTGAAAGGATTGGGGCGGTTTTGAAGACTCCAAGTATCTTTCGAAGAGCTAGATTTTGAAGTGATTGAAGTGTATCCTTGAATTTAATCTGGCCTTTCCACCAAACTTCCGATCCGTAGTCAGCAATACTAGTTATACAAACTATATATAGCTGTCTCATAGCCTTAGGACTAAGGCCTTTTTCTATATTAACTAAACAAGCCATTCATTGAAAGGCTCTTTTCGCTTGTGCTGCTCTGATATTGACATATTAATCGAATTTGAGATTCGGATCGAACTAGATACCAAGCCATCTAATTAGAGATTGGGATATTACTGTTTCCGAATTGGGTAAAGTAATAGGATATTGAGCTGTTAATTTGGAAGAGGAAAAATGCATTAGCTTTGTTTTAGCTAAATCGAATTGGATTGCATTCTTTGAGCTGAGTTTGTATAATTGTTTTATAGCTCTTTCTAACGAATTAACATTCTTTCTCTAAATAAATGATTTAGTAATAAGAGCGATATCATCAATATATGAAAGGAATTTGATTGAATTGTTTTGGAAAAGATCTCTAATATAAATTAAGAAGAGGATTGGCGAGATAGGGCTGCCTTGTGATATTCTGGTCGAAATTGGCTTGAAAGATTCGATTTGATTATTAAAAGATAGTTTTAGTTGTTTTTGTTGAAGAAATGAAGCTATCCAGAA